CCAAAGCGTGTTGTCCGACTTTAGGTTTTGGCGAAATGTCATTCTGTTAACTTTTTGTCATTTGGAAGGCTTTAAATCCTCTGACATTGAAACTGGTAATTCGATTAAATAAGACACCAATTCCTCTCCCCTCTTTCTCTTCAGTTATTCGCTCGTCAGGGTGCTCTCGTGGCCCGATTTCCACGCGTGACCCTCCTTCTGACCGTCGCTCTACTAGCAGTCGCGTGTTGCGGTTTTCTGCGTTTCCGGGTCACCACAGACCCTGTTGAGCTCTGGAGTGATCCCAATTCTCGAGCTCGTCTCGAAAAGGCCTACTTCGATGAACACTTTGGGTAAGCACTCATTACAATGTACTGATTGCAATCCGTTTTGACTGGAATTGGTGTACCAATTGTCCCAGTAAGTGCGGAATAATTGCTTCCGTAGATCGATGCTTAACAGGCCCATTTGTATGCACCACCTAATGGAAGAGTGAATGAATAAGTGGGTTTGGTGGCTGGATAATCAGACGGCTGGTTGGGGAATAATTTCATTAGTAAACATTTAGAGATATGGAAAAACTTCTTAAACAATTAAACCTGCTTGAATAAGGCTTGTCAGTTTAATTAGCACTTCTTCAAAATTCTAAACCTTGTCCATTATGCCTGTATTGACGCTCTCAATTGGTGTTGCTGTCCCATTTTGTACAAATGTGTTTTTAGACACACACACACACACGCACACATTAGCATTCCAGGCCGCATTCCTTGCCCCATTGCCAGGGCCATTCCCCAAATTGGCCAGTCGAATAGAGGAGTGGCCTGATAGGTCAGTGGATAAATACACTGACAAAATCAAGTGTACAAATTGGGCGATACCACATCTCTTGGTCGTAATTAAAATCACGTGCCGTGTTTTGGTGACAACCTTTTCGATACTTATATAACTCCTCACATAGTGACATTTTATGATCATCTGCATCGCCTTAGCCATTATGCTTGCCCCATTTATATACTCGTTCTCACTGTTACCGTATAAGTGAACACAAAGGTGGTCTTAACGATTGCATGCCTGTGTGGTTTGGGGTTGGGGATGGTCAAATAATCAAAGAAGCTGAATGGGATGGTGAATCGGTGGATGGTTTAACGAGCTCCTGATTGAGAATCTGGTGCCACTGTCGATCCTATTGTCAACTATGCAGTAATCCATATGTGCGAGCTTTGGTGGTACTTAGACCGACGGACATCGTCTGACCCTGTCTTAATTTCGTATTGGTGGTAGTGTTGTGTGGACGATGAGGGCAGGCGGTCACTCGCCCCCTTTTTCCGCTCGTCTCCTCCATGCTGGTGTCACGTGATGGTGGGTGGTGGTAGTGGGAGGGGTGTGGAGACCGGCAACATGCTTTCGCCCTGCCGATTGGCATATCAGACCAAATTTATGGC